AAGTACTTTTTAAAAAAAATAAAACTACTACGAATAAACAAAAAAGAAGTATATAGAAAGTTTTATTAGGGTTGTAGAACTCCACTATTAAAAATAATCAAAATGATTTCTGGTTTTAAAGAAGTTAGCATGGTAATAACCTAATTCTATCTATCTTTAAGAAGTCGCTATTATGCTAACTTCTCTAAAACTAGAAATCATTTTGATTATTTTTAATAGTGGAGTCCTACAACCTTAATAAAACTTTCTATATACTTCTTTTTTGTTTATTCGTAGTAGCTTTATTTTTTTTAAAAAGTACAGTACTTTAAACTGTATAGTAAAATTAAATTGATTTAAACAGCCAATCATACGAATGTCTTCCTATGGGGGGCTAGATGATGTTCGTGTTACATAAAAACTCAATTTCAGATTTTTGATGGTACAAGCGAGGTCACATGCTTGGATTCAATTCACCGAGTCAAATTGACGGTCATCTGATTAGCTGTTATTCCATTTAGAGCCTGATCCAGTCAAAAGATAAAAATCCAGTCCACGACAGATGATATACTGTATTATCATTGAATTTTAATTGGTGAAAAATGACATCCGGATATTCATTCAATGAAACGATTTGTATACATGTATTCAGATTCTTCGGATATATCATTTGCCGGATCAGACCTCCACGAATAATTGATTTTCAAATTAAAATATTTCATTAACTTGATATCTGATAAATTGTACATATATAAATAAGAATCAAACTTTAATTAGAATTGAAAATCTCAAAAAATGTTGAACGGTGGTTTTCTTAGCCTGTTCCCTTATTGATCTCCACCCGGCTAGAGGTTTTGCCACGTATCACTAGTTTTCAACAAATTAAAATCGAAAGATATGTATTATGAATAACCAATCAAATTCAAAATTAGTTAGCAGGTTCCATCTGCGAAAATACATTGACGTTATATATTAATAAAAAAAAACATCGATCTATGATGGTTTTATCACTTTACATTATTGTTCGCATGATTTATATCCAATGACACTGTTAAAACAATTTTTTTTTAATAATGATTAATTTTACACAAAAGTTACAATAAGCTTCATTATGGAATACATAATAAATATTATACTAATAAGACTTACTAAACTCATATAAACATAATTAGCAAGTTAATGATCTAATCAAATAAATGAATAAATAAATATACACATCAGGAAAAAAAAAAAAAAAAAAAAAAACAGTAGTCAATTATAATAAAATATCTAAAATTGAACTTTCATGGCAGAAGAACGTAATAAAGAATTTAAACCAATTTGTGACATTTTAATATTTCGATCCACATTTGGACTCTTTTCAACGAACGATTTTCCATAATATATTTCATTATAATCATCAAGTTCATCATCATCTTCGTCAGTAACCCACTGATCTTCCTCATCCTGTTGTTGTTGAACGAGGTTATCATATCGCTGAAAAAGAAATTAAAAATTAGGAATGTAAAACAGAAATATCGATTACTATAACAGATGACATAAGTAATTAATGTAATAAGTACCTCCTTAATTTCTACTAATTTTTTATAATCAGGATCATTATATTTCATTTCATTCAACTCCAACCTTATTCTCTCGACCACTTCGGTATAATCAGGACATTGCAGAAAACCTTGCAAACGTGAATCACATCTAGGACACGACAAATCAGATATCTTGATTCCACAACCATCCTCTTCTTCATCACTATCATCATCATCTTTACAGATAGCAAATTCATACAAATCTTCAATCTTCATTTCCGGATAACCACATTCACCACAAGCAGCAATATGATGGTGAACATGTTTTGGTTGATCACAATTATTACAAGTCTGTTGATTTATACGATTCTTACGATCATCTATTTCGTTTTGTAGTTCCAATAATTTTGTTTGTTGTTGTTTCACCCAAGCTTCGCACGCATCACATTCATTAAAATTTGTGTTTGGTTGAGAACAACCTTTACATGTGCCAAATATTTTTCGACGACGAGCTAGTTGAGAAGAATCGACTGTTTGTTCTGTTTGTGGATTTGATATAATGGATTCCATTATTAAAAAATAATAAGGTATGTAAAGTTACAAAAAAAGAAATTGTTTCGAATTAAAAGTATTTTTTTTTAAAGATATATGAAAAGTTAAAGTCAATTATATGTATGCAATTAAATAAAAGGAAACGAATGTTGGCAAGCGCATATAATAAGGCTTCTTTATCGCATAAAGATTTTTAAGATAAAATTGTTTTTGTTTATTTGAAGGGACCAGTAATGAATAAAAGGAATTCGTTTTTTTTAAAAAAAAAGAAAAAAATGTAAAGGCATCAACACTAATATTGATTTTATATATTGTAACCTAAAAAGATTTTAGCCGCTTCATAAATACTTTTTCTATTTGTTACGTGACTACCATGTAGGTTTCATCGAGCAACATTAAAATTTTCTTGACAGACGCAAAGCATTAAAAAGCATTAAAAATGCTTGGGATCATCGAGATCAACAAGATTATTAGTACATACGTACGTATAATAATTCCTGTTTTAATTGATAATTTTCTCGTGACTTAAAAGATTACTTTATTTGGAATAGTAGTTAATGCAAGTATCTACAATGTGTACAATGTGTACAATGTGTACAATTTGAGTGCGGTAGTTAATTGATTATTTAAAGGTTGCACTAATAGTTATTGGTTTCACGCTTTGAATACATTTCTGATATTAAGGATTCTTGTACATACGTACCATAATCACGTCATCTAATAAAAATAACAGCCGAATTAATATGGATATCTGGTTTCATTAATTTTTTTTTTAAAGTGTATTTTCTGGGTGTTTTCCTTCTTAGTCCAACAGTAACATACTGTAAGTGGACCCTGTAAGAGCCTTAAAAAATATCAAATCATCATTAGAAAATTTTAAACTGGTAACGTATTGTCAAGTGTATCTGCGCATGAAATGCAATTTCCCACTTGTTATCTTTGATTGGTTAAAAAAAAACCATGTGCATAACCTTCATTCGTGGTCACAAAGTATTAATATTGAAGAACTAGGTATCTCTACGTATGTATGTACAATACGTACGTACGTATGCACACGCATTCTATTAACTTGAAGATGTTAGAATGTTACTTGCATAACTGATAACATTTAAGCTGCTGCTTTGTACGAACGTACGTACGTACTGTACGTACGTTTATATGAATTCTAAATATTATATATAAGCATGTTAAATGTTTATTCTTACCTTTTATCTTTTGCTTCCGGCTTTTTAATATATACGTAGGAGTGTTGTACTTGCGGTCGACAGCTTAAATCAAAGATTTTATCCAGCTTCGTTTTTTGCTTACTAGAGAAACCTTTTGTTCACACAAAACAAAGGGAGGACAAGGTAACAATAAATATTAGTTAATTCAATGCTCTGAAATGGAAGATAATATCAACACGAGTTCGATCAAGTAGTACATGACAATGTTTATTTTATGTTATATTTTACTTTTTAAGATTTGCTTTAATATTCATTTTAATACAGTATGATACCTTATTTTATATCGTGATAGAGTATTTCATCGAAAAATAAGTTTATTGTAATTTTAAAATTTTCCGTACATTTACAAAGATACCAGATACGTATTGTTACGTAAAGAGATTCAATCATACAATGGTCTTAAATCACGTTTAGAAATAATGCTTTTAACGTTAACGGCTAAAATGGACCATTTTACTATTCGGCAAAAACTAGTTCCATTTAAAGACTGATCGATTTCCAAATGTATCGATCTGAAGCAAAAAGTAATACAAGGAAATTTTACTTATTAATAATCATTTCCATTTGTTGGTTTTAACCTTAAAAGGTATCCAATTACCGTTGTTCCTGTATGATGAAAATGCGGGGCTTGCATATTCTGCGTAATCATACAATAAGTTATTATATGGAAGTAAGCACTGTAATATATTTCTTGCATTAATTTATACCGGTAGATTCCGTTAAAGATTATTATTCAACCGACGATACTCATCTTTCTCACTTAAAAAAAAGTCTGCGACTTATCGGTTTCCTAAAATTTTATTTACAATTTTATTTTACAATCCTTTGTTTTTTTTCTATAACCGAATTTTCGTTATTTATAACGAACCTTTATTTTCTCCTAAATTTCACCCTTACGATTTTCACAAAACTTAGTCTTTTTTTCACGATATTTAAAAATATTACTAATTATCAATCGAATCAAACTTCGATTATTGTCTTATGATTTGACTATTTCCTTTTTTTTTTTTTTATCACTGAAGATACTTCTTTTTAGTTTCATAATCTATGAATTCTCAATATCGGCAAAAATCGTCGGACAGAAAAAGGGTCAATCCCTTGATTGATTTAGTAGAGACTGAAAAGAAATATATAGGTGATTTGAAATGTTTGCTAAAGGTTAGTGATAAATTCTTTGATTTCTTGTAAAACATGTTTTTTCTTTTCCCTGTGAAAAAAAAACCTTTTTTTGTTTAATCAGAGAGTTACATCTTGTTGGAGTTCCGAGGATCTTCCTCCTCCTGAGTTGGACACACTGTTTCGTGCTATTGAGGAAATTTATAAACGGAATAAACAATTTTACTCGGTAATTTAATTAGACCCAATAGTAATTTGAACATATCTTTTTTATTTCATAATATTTCATAATATTTCATAATTAACTATTGATTTACATTTTATTTTAACAGAAATTGGCAAGGCTTGGTACATCTCCTCAATCTGCCGAGGAACTTGGTGATGCTTTAATGGCCTGGGTAAAAAAAAAATTTAAAAAATTTCTATTTTTAGTATATGAAATAATTTTTGTCAAATGTAAATCTTTTTTATTCAAATAAATAGGTGGATGAAATGGAAGAGCCATACAAAAATTATTGTCAAAAATATCGACAAGGTTTTGATTATAGACAAGATATTGAAGAAAATTTAAATTTACAGCAGACTTTAAATGTAATTATTATTTATTATTATTATTATTGTTATTATTATTATTATTATTATTATTATTATTATTATTATTATTATTATTATTATTATGATTATTATTATTATAATTATTATTATTATTATTATTCGTTATTATTAGGTATTTCTCGCATGAATACTGATTTTTATTATTGTGTTTGATTTTAGGATATTTCTGCCGAAAATAATCAGCCGGTATCATTAGATTACTTTTTTGACATTCCGATTAAAAGGCTTCACTATTATAAAAAATTGTATATGGTTAGCAATCTCACAATCTCCTTTTTTATAAATAAACAGCTTTAAACACGAATTAAATAAAAAAAAAAATTTTTTTTTTTAAGCGTTTATTTAAAAGCACGGAACCTGGTCGTTCCGATCATATCATTTTAGCTTCTGCAAACGAACGGCTTGATCAAATTATTAATCTAGAAAAGCAAGTTAAAGAATCATATTTGAAAAACCCGATAAATAATTCTCAAAAGTTGTATCCCACTGTATCTTCACCTTCACCTTCAGTAGAAGAACGCACTGTAACTTCTATCAAAGATCCGATAAATAATTCCCAAAAACTGTATCCCAACGTACCTTCACCTTCAGTAGAAGAACGCACTGTAACACCTATCAAAGATCAAGTTTTTCATTCAAATAATTCTCTGGTGCAGGAATTTGAATTCTATTCGCCCTTACTCGAACGACTTCAACAAGAACAGATTCATTCAAAAAATTCTCCGGTTCAGGAACCTGAATTCCATTCGCCCTTACTTGAACGACTTCAACAAGAACATATTCATTCACCTATGCCACAAAGACTTCATTCTCCAATTTCTCCAATACAAGATTACGAATCTTCAATTTCAGGTTACTTTCCTGAAATTTCTGAAGAGCCTAAGTCTAATTGGAATATATTAGACTTACAAAATTTCATTGATACTTCAAAAACTTTCGATATACGTACTAAACAACCTAGAGTATGTTCTATTTATTTACTAAAATTTTTTTTTGATAAAAGTATGCAATTTAATCAATATATATTATTATTTTTTTTATCTAAAGAAAGTAAATTTGGTTCTACAACCGCCCAATTTACCTTTCAAACGAGAAATAGTTCTCTATGATGATTTCGTTATCGAAGTTCCAGAATATGATAGTGATGAAAGATTTCATGTACGAGCACATTTGTTCTTGTTAACCGATCTCTTGTTGATTTGTCAAAAAATTGATTCAAAAGACCAAAGTAATTTTAAATTTTGGTTAATGTATCAACCGTTGAGCGGAAAACATTTATCAATAAGAGATATAAGTTATGAGGAAGGAGGTTAGCTTTTTAAATAATATTTGAACATATATAACTATTATAACAGCTTTGTATTATTTTATGTATTTAGACAATTCATTAATAGTTTGAATTATTATTATTATTATTATTATTATAGCTATGTTGGAATTAACTATAATGAGGGGTGAAACTTTGATTATTTTTCCTCAATCAGATAACACCAAAGACGCTTGGTTCAATGAAATCTCTAAAGCGATAAAGTTTGCCTCAGCTGGTATGTTATTTTTATATCAAAATGTAAAAATTCACCAGCATAATATTCACAAATATTCACAAATAATCACAATAATAATTCTTAGGTGCTATGAGGCCACATGTCAATACAGATGTAAGAGATTTGAATTCAGCAGGTAGTAGCCCACGTACGCGATCTGCATCTCCAAATGCAGGTGTGTTAACACCTAATAGCTTAGGAAGTTTATCAAGGTCACCTTCAAACTCGAGACTTTCACCTACAAACTCGGGACTCTCACCTAATAATAATATGGGTCATTCACCTACTAGTCCAAGGAAAGTAGGATTACCGTCAAGACCGAATCAGTACCTTGGACCATTAAATGGACGTTCACAAACTCTTGATACTCTACGTAAATCCAGCAATGAAGTTAATTATCAACCTTCTAATAACAATTATAATCAAATACAAGATCGAATAAGTGATCCTTCATCTTCTAATTCTATATATCGATCACAGTCTTTATCATCTCTTAAACGTTCTAATTCTATAAATT